CACCAATATAGATATAGCTGGTATAAGTGCATGCAGCAGTAACTGGAGGCTACAACTGCTGAGAATCACCATAAAAAGAAACAATGATGCATCTGTTACCTTTGAGCCTCATGATGCCCTCTAACTATACTGACTACTGAAAGCATTTGCGAAACATGCCTGGGTAGCCTCGTCACCATATTGGAAAGTATAGTCGTTAGCACAAACCTAATTGGATACATTAATACCTGGGTCCTGAAAGTCGCAAGAAATCTAGCTAGTTACGACAGCATGCAGGCTTGAGATACTTACCTATTCAGGTAGAGACAGCTGCATGGCTTGAAATACGAACTCCTGGAAAATACGCCAAGTAAGGATTGAGGGAAAAATCGCTTTGTCAGGCATACCAAACTGGAAGCAATAAGCACCCACCTGGTACACACCAATTTGGGAGTTGAAGATAAAAGGTTTGTGAGTAATGTGGCGGACATGTGAATACTGATTGGCGGTTGGAGAAGAATGTATAAAATCCAGATCAATCACATGTGTGGGGATGTTGATGGCTCTGGTGGGTTTTAGCCATGGATAAATAGTCTTAGTATTTGATGTCCTAGTCCTAGTTCTGATATATAATATGTATGTATTTATAGTACCATTATATGTCAATTTACTTAAGTATTAATAAAAGTCTGGGGCAGGAGCTACACCCCAAATATTAAAAAAAAAAGGTTAAATAATATACTATAGCTAATTTTTAGTTACTAAGTATATATATTATAATATAAATATAGTTTTTTTTTTATTTTGAATTGTGATTATAAAGATAAACAACTTTGAGTAAATTATATTTAAATAATAATTTACGAATATAAATATATAAAATTTTTAACTTCAAGTTTATTTACAGTAGTAAAGTAAACTACGTGACCAGCATTGTACAAGCAACAAGCTTCATGTGCATCAATATATCAACTACTTTTATAAATCTTTTTGTAATATAATTAACTTTTGTAACTTATACATAGCGAACATTTTTATTAAATAAATATATATATATTTAAAAATTACCAAAATAGGCTTTTTTAACCTTATATATATTAGGCATTTCTAACCAGAGATGCCAAGAAATACATATTTTTTTTTTTTTGTACAATGTACAATATTATAAGCTATATATTAGCTTTAAAAACTAGCTATTTCATTGTTGTCTAAGTATTTTGTACAGTACTATACAAAATTATAAAATTGTTTAAAATTTATTTTTTATTATAAATTCGATTGCACTTTCTACGTAACTAGAATCAAAATATCAATAAAAAAAAAGAATCGGTGTACGTATGATAGTCGCTCATTTCCTCGAAAGTCATTACCATTTACCCGACATCACATAGGGTTAGAAATAACATTTGATTAGTTGCAAGTATATATTGATAGTAAATTGTCACGTACGTGATGTCGGATAAATTAAAATGACCGAAGGAGTAATGAGGCGTAACGCACACGAATACGATTGACATTCGGGAAATTGAGTTACAATGAACGGATCATTCAAGTGATTATTAACTCATTTTGGCTAAAATAATTAAAGAGAGTGAATGAAATACATTTTCGATTAGCATGAATATAGATTAGCACAGGGCATAATTTAACCAAATTGATAACTTGACGCATGACTAATTTAAGTCATTTCTTAAAGAACAAATAAGAAGCAGAACTTTAAAGCAGATTCGTAAGAAATTAAAAATTAGAATAAAAAAAGTTCATATATTTTATTGGTTCATAAAGAAAAATAGATTTAAGAACGAAAATTTCCAATTAATAATAAAATATAATATATTAAAATACGTACGTTATTTCTTTATAAATATTTTAAATTGTAATCATATCACGTTAGACAATTGAATAAAATTAAAACAAGAAATTGACATCTGCAGTCAAAGACGTAAACCTCAGTGGTCAAAATTAGATTTCACAAAAAAAGTTCTAAATACGATTCTTTTACCAATTTTTGATAAAATGAATCACCAAGTTTCAAGAATACATTTTTGAATAAATAATTTCTGGGTTTCGATAAAGTTTCACAGGGACCTTGATGTTACATTGATGGATCGACAACAAAGACATTTGATAAATAAAGAGGTTAATTTAGTAATACTGTTTATTAGGCGTTGCCAAAGTCAGAATTTGGACATCGTTAACAATGGAAGCAAGAGAAATTGAAATTCGTGACACTTTGAATTACGAGTTTTATAAAACTCCGAGAATTTTATTTTTTTATTTTATCTATTATATTATAATAATGATAATTTAATTTACTATAGAAATACACGTGAAAATGAATTTGTATCGATTATTATATATATCGATATATATATATATATATATATTATATATTGTATATTGATAAACTATTGATTTAAAAGTTTAAAAAGTAAATCAATTACCAATCAGTTTTTATAATTTAACACAAGAGTTCATCAATGACCGACAGGAAATAAGAAAAATATAACAGAATATCAAATATTTCACATAATTCGCATCATAATTTATATCATAATTTACATCATAATTCACATAATTACGTACGTTAGCACCAACCAAGTTCACTAACCCTAATTAATTATTTAAGAGAAAATAAATAAAATATAGAATACTTAAAGAAGAATCGTGGGAAATTTCATATATTAAAGGGACAATAAAAAAAAGAAAAAAAGTTTACTGTTAGTTTGAACGGGCCATACATTACATTAACGACAATCTGAACTTGGATCACTCCTCGATAAGTAAAAGAAATAGATATGTACATATGTATTTACGCTAGTGAGAATTAAGATGTCTAACTGTTAATTTAAGGTAAGTCTTAAAGGACTCTAAGCTTTATATGGGTAAAGTTATATGTATAAGTATATTTAAAAAAAAAACCGAATTCAAATATTTTTAAAAAAAAACCATTCATAGCACTATTAAGAGCTTATTCTCGAGTTTACAGCTATTAATTTATTTAATTTATTAATTTATAACTTATATGCATATTCAGATCTTGTTAAAAAGGAGTTCAATCGGATAAAGAAAAGCACCAATCATTAACGTTCTATATAATGCAGGTCATTGTCACGCTTTAAATACTGAATTTTCATTTTTTTTTTCTATTCATCTTTTTTATATTAGAAAAAAATATATCCATTCAAAATTAATCCGCTCAATCAATCATGTGTTAATTGCAAATAATAAACAAATTATTGTTTTCTAAAAGCATAAATTTTGATTTGATTTGATATATTACAGTACTTAGATTTAAATTTCTTATAAACGAACTCCTTGGTTTACTATATTTATGATGTTAATCAATAAAAAGTATTTAATGATAAATAATTTGTTTGTTTTAGTTGGTACTTTTCAAGCGTGTTCAATTCAATAAATTCTATATCTTTTTAACAACTCTTTACAAGAACGATTTAAGAATTATCAAAATTCTTGATACAGTAATTTTTGTCATAACTATTATTATTTACTGTATTTAGTACTAAACAGGTAAAGAATTGATAGTTGTAAATTATCTACAAGCATAAAATCAAAGTTTTAATTATTGCTAATCAAACAATCTAATTTATTAAAATAACACATCGTTTGGTAAAATTTTAGTGTGCAGTTTTTTAATAAAGTTAGAGTTAGAATTAGAGTTAAGGCTAATAAGAAAGTATGAGCTTTATACGGTTTAAGAGAGTTTCTAAACTTTTTTTTAGCACTATTTAAAAAGTTTATTTTTTGTTTTTGTTTGAAAAAAAAAACAGTTTATATTTATAATATATACAAAGTTTACACCATTCTTGCTACAGTATAAAATTATGACACGAACTAATATTTAATTAAGAAAATTCTATAATTTATACAGTATATCTTGACTGGTTAAAGTCACCAAACTATTTATTACTTTAGTCATGTGACTATCAAAGTTTCTTGGGCAAGTCAAAATAGAAATCTAACAAGGAAGATTAGCATTAACATTAAGGCACTTCCTTTACTTTTAGAGTTTCACATTAAGAATATTATTAGTTTGAAACTTACGCGAGGTTTGACTAATTTGTGACATTAGAATAATTAATTAAATTTTAAACGTTTATACCGATATTTTCTGTATTTTATTTCTGTATTATTTCTGTATTTGTTTAGTTTTGTTACAATACGCCCAATTATCTTTAAGAGGATACTATCAACTATGTCACAAAATATCAATACGATTTTTGGAATATTTGTTATTAACGTTAAAATGGTATCAATGTTTATAATGTGGAACCATCAAAATATACAGATATATGAAACCGTCAGTCAAAAGTTGATATAAAAAAAAAAATGATGCAATCACGTTTTAGTTATTATTAGTCTTTTTAGGATGTTTTTCTTTATGTATTTCCATTGTTCGATCACATAATATTTATGTTGGTGAAACTACACTTGATATGTCATAGCTTGCATAATTTATATTGTTTGCTTACTGTATATATACATATATATATATATATACTGTATATGCGGAATCTTCTTAATTCAGTGTAGCAGCAAATATTTTCTTGGATTTGATTTGTGTACGTATGTTTATGAATTTTTTTTTTTTTGTTGGATGATTTGTTTTTCAGAGAAAATCCATTATGTATTGCAGAGGTATTACTTACTCCCCCCCTTTTCTGTTAAAATCGCGTGCAAGGTTTCTGCTTACCGATGTATGGTCGCATTTATTTTTATATGCATCATCACGTTCATGTCGCTCTAAAATAAAAAAATATTCACATACTACCTAGGGCGTTTGTGGATAAATATAAACCCCTCCCCCCATCTGTCGTCTCAAAAAAAAAAAAAAAAAAAAAAAAAAATATTTCGTCCTACATTTTTTTTTTTTTTTTTTATATATATATATACTTTTTTTTTATCCTAAGGACAAAAACAAAAAAAAAAAAAAAGGTTATTCTTGAAGAATAGTTTCGTTCTTTTTTTTTAAAGACTTTCAAACTCGATAAGAAAAGACTATGTCATTTAACGAACTACTAGCAGCTTTTAACCGAGCAGTAGGAACATATGTTCCTCAAATCTCAAGAAAGGCAGTGACTGGTAACGATGATACTGATAGCCTTATGGACGAAAAAAGATCTTTATATTGCGCATCAACCCATGAAAGACGTAAAGGACCAGGAATCATAAGAAGTAGTAGCGGATTTTTAAAATTATCATTAAAGCGTAGTTGGAATTCTTCGGCTCCAAATATCTCTTCCACATCTATTGTCACACCTTTAAATCCAACGGCTTCTGCTCCGTTGTGGAAAGAACAAGTTGACCCGAATATTAAAGCTGAATTGCCACAAGCCGAAATTCATCGACAAGAAGTTATGTTTGAAATTATTCGTACTGAAAAAGCTTTTGTTGAAGATATTAAATTCTTAATAGAGGTATTTGTTATATCCGGTTATTACTTTCTATATTTGAAAATCAATTAACAAATCATGTGACTTATTATTAGCATTACGTAAATAAGTTCCGAGATTCCGGCATTCGTCTACCTTCTAGCCTTGAGCAAACTTTCTCAATATTGCCAGATATCTTACTGTTGCATCTCGACACTTCTCTGGTTAGTATCTCTTTGTTTTCATAATTTTTTTTTTTTATTTTACTAATATATATATATATATATATATATAAAATAGCAACTCCGATGCACACAAGCAATCATGTATCCGGTTATACCATCGATAACGCACATACTTCGTGACTTGTCTAAACAATTCCATATTTATGAAAAGTATCTTATTCATTATCAAACGGCAATATCTGAAATAGCAAACGCGCGCAAAAAGAACAATAAATTAGGACAATTAGTAAAAACTTTAGAATCTGGTTTACTAGCAGGAAGATATCTAGGTTTAGAAAGTTTACTCACAAAACCATTTCAAAGGCTATGTAAATATCCTCTTTTGGTTATGGTATGTTTGAAAATTTTTTTATTAGTCTTTTTTACACATGTTATACGATAAATCTTGACTTTATTATGTATTCTTCTTATTGACTTTATTATGTATTCTTCTTAGACTTTATTAAGGGCTACATCGCCGGATCATAAAGACCATTCATCACTTGTCGACTTACATGATCAGATGGACTGTGCTCTTAAGGAACTTCAAGAGCGTAAATCAAGACATGAACGTTTAAAGGAAAATGATGAATTTTCGCGCAAATTTTCGGTAAGTTTTAATATTTTTAAATTATATATATATATAAATATAAATGATATACATAACTAACTTCATTTTTATTATAGTCATTAGGTCCTTTCAACAAACTATATTCAACAAATCGTTATAAGCGCTCAGCCACGATGCCATTCGCGAGATAACTTAACACGGCCCATTGTCAATAAAGATTCATTTTTTAAAATTTCAAAATAGGGAAAGAAATTGGTTTTTTGTAGAACAAAATTGTACAGTTTTTTTGTTTTTTTTTTTTTGTAAATGAACTTTTCTTGTTTAATGGGCTGCTGGCAGGGATTCTTCTTTTTTTAATCGAGTTATACTGGTTGTAAAAAAAGTAACGAACACCTGGTGTGTCATGCTAATTTCAAGTTTTGTAACACCCTTTTAATAATTCATTCATTCATTCATTATTATTTGTATTATATATTCTACATTTATGACTATTAGTGTCAAATTGAATATTTCTGAAAAGTACTAAATGTATCGTTTTATCCCCAATAATCTTGTATTAAACCACCTTTTTAATAGAGTTTTTCTTTACGATTATATTAATTATTTCATTTTTATTGATTTTTTCTAATTTGTTTTTACATTTATAGAAGATTTTACATTTGTCATTCCTTTAACCTTTACAACAACACAAATGATACCATTAATACCTAGTCTTTTTTTTTTTTATATATACATATATTTAAATTATGAAAATCACAAAAAAAAGGAGAAAAAAGAAGAAAAAGGCAAAAAAAAAAATTTTTACAACTTTGTGTACCTATCATTAATATACACTAATTTATCGTAGATTACTACTTTACACCCTCACAGACAACTACCACTTATTATCGCTTTAAACATACTGAATGTATCGATGTAAGATTTGATTATCATTAGCTCATATAATACATAAATTTTTATGTTTTGGGTTAAATTAAATAAATAAGTGAATAAAAACAAAGAATTCGATTAACCTATTAAAATTTATTTACACATTACATACGTACGTACATATTCTAAAAAAAACAAATATGGGATCGACTTGGCTTTTACTAAGTTGCGTTATAATTCGTACGTACATTTTAAGTATTTCATATGTATATATCGATAATTTATATATTTATTTTTGTGGTATTTCGTATATTTGTAAATTTTTGTGTATGCCGACATATCGTATACTTGTATATTTGTTGTTTTGAAAGATTTCAAATGATCTAACAAATGATCTAAATGATTCAAATGTTACAATCAAAGGAAAATTTAGAATAACACTGCATAATTATTTTAACCAACATAAATATTTTTATGTACTGTACGATCTTTTTAAAAACAAATCTTCGAATTTTTCGTTAAACTATGTTAAAGAATAGTTTGTGGTAATTTTAAATTATTCAATCAATTATAATCAATTATCTAATCGTACTTATTAGAAATTTCAAATACAGTACATCGATACTGATACGTACGTACAGTACATTATTCATGCTGGTTTATGCTTGTAGATCAGTTATTTGCACATATTTAACTCCAATGAAATCTTAACTTTAATGTTGGTACAACATATGCAGTGTTCTTCCACACATGTCTCGATATTTTTTTTTTTTTTTTTTTTCGTCCGATTTCAGACTTCTCTGTATTTTTTTTTTTTTTTGAGTGTATCATTAGTATTATGCAGATAGGAAGATAGGAATTTTCTTTGAAATAAGCGCCAGTTTCACTGTCTTTTTTTAGAGAATGAATTTAAAACGCGTTACACGTCCTGGGCATTATGATCAAATGGTCAAAAAAGATAATGGAACGCCAATAATCTTTATAAAGATGTTTCAAACTTTATTCTTTTCAAGATTATCCGAAATAAACATTACATGAACTGAAAAATTTTATCCATTATTAATTCTGGTATTGTTCCGTTTTTCCTTAGTTTGTACGCGCAAAATTCACATTGTGTTAATTAAACATCAAACCCTAAAGATAGTAACAAAACTTTGTTTAAAAAAAAAAAAACTTATAAATAACTAAGATACACTAAAAAAAGAATTAAAATTTTTGGAAACAAAAGATAAGTAGTTAATCAAACGAGCATAACATCTTCCGGCATTATATAGCATATCTTCGAAATTAGATAGCATACATCTTCGAAATTATGTGCATACACTTGACATTACGTATTTTTTTTCAAAAAACATAATACCTTCCATATTCAGACGTTTAGCTTCATGTAATTATGTCGAAGAGAACGATCCTTTTAATAATACGTATGTACTGTACATACATACGACTTTTTTTTCGATAGCTTATCGTTTATTAGATCTAGAATGGGGGGTTTTTTTAACCATCTAAAACTGTGTTCTCCGCACATTTATGCATAAATGCATGTTGCCCAATAGCTTTACATCATTAAACAACGAAAGAATAAAATAGGTTTCTAAATTAGTTAAAGTTGCTATTCTTTACTGGCTGTGAACAAAAATTTTTTTTATCTCCTTTGTAATACGATTAACTGTATGATGTAATCATAACTTCCCGCGATTATACTATAAATAATAAATGAGATAAAGAGGTCTTATAATAATGCAATAATGCTTTCGTTCGACCTTTCAAACATCAATGGCTATTGCATACAATTAGTTCCATTATAAAGCATACAAGTATTTTTATTCATGCTCTTTCAAAATTGATCTTCCAATCTTCCAAGATCCAGCCTTCCAACATTTAATTGTTTTTTATGATCCATTTTAGTAAATTATAATGGCGTACATTTTCTTTTGAACTCCTAACTTACAAAAATAATTTATGCCGTTTTTTAACAATCAAATTAGATTTGATAGGATCTTAAAAAAGAGCATTATCAAAAAAACCAGAATAATGAATTAAGTTTATAGTTCATTATTTCATTTTATTGATCAAAGAAATTTATATAGTTGAAACTGTTCTTTATCATATTATCTTTCTTTTTTTGGTTTTATAGTAGAAATTTTGCTTTGTCATGATCGCATGAATAGCTAAATTTGACTTCCAGTTAAATTGTACATACTTAACGTACGTACTGTACGTACGAACCTAACCCAGAATTAGTGTTAAAAGACATCACAAGGTTAATCGTTAGTTTTAAAATAATTATCATTTAAAATTATCTATTCTGTATCGGTATTCCCATTAAAGGTACTGTATGTATAGAGTATACACATATATATGTGTTCATGAACTTAATTAATATAGCTTATCTTAAAACGTATCACTTTGGGACTAAATATACTTATAATATACTGAAACAAATAAATTGAAAGATAATATATAGTAAATATTTGTAATTTAAATGATTCAATCATATTACGTAGTAATTATTGTAACTGTAACTCATGAAATTTTGACACCCGATCCACGAGTAATACAAACTCCTAAGAAGGAATGACCACTCAGAGATACAAATTTTGTTAATTTGTCACATGATTGCGTTGCAGCCAATCGAGTTTACATAATAAAGAAATAATCATTTTAAACTTAAAATAAAAAATACCCCTTTCGATAATTACCTGGTTAATTGATTGTCTAAACATACTTTCGAAATAAAAAAAAAGGTATTATTAATATTGAGCAATTTTAATCATCACTGGGAAGTGAAATTTATCAGATATACTATTCTCAAAATCGGCTTAGTAATTAGTGGTTGAAGCACTAAATAAAAAAATATTTAGCACTCTAAAAAAAAACCCCCCTTCTCTTAACTTTAATTAGAACTCTAACTTTAAATCTAAGTTTAATTTTAACTTTAAAATTTAAAATAAAAAAATTTTATAAGAAATATAATTCTAATAGGTTATATAGATTTTTTTTTTTGAATGATCTAAAAGTCTGTGATACGCTCTTTTAATAAAGCTTTGGTAAAAAAAAACGCTTTAAACCGTTTTTAAAACATCGCATCTGATGCTAAAATTTTTGCTGATGTTGAAAATATTGCTTCTTATTGGTTAATTTTTAATTGTCAACCGAGAAATTTTTTTTAACATTATAATTTCGAATTTATTAAAAATTACGTAAAAAAATTGATCGCAAATTTTGTCATTCGATCTGATATTCAGAGTCCAAGAATTTATTTGTCAAATTACGTTGATTAGAAATAATATAAAATAGGTGTACAGTTTTAATATATATATATTTATTTATTTACGTAAGTACTAGAGTTTCAATGTTTATCCGGATCTGAATTTATTCTGGTATCTGTTTACTATTAATATCCGGATAATTATCTGTGTACCTGTCGGATTCCGTTGACTACTGATATCCGCATAATTATCCGAATACCGTTGACTATTGATATCCGCATAATTATTTGAATACCTGTCGGATTCCGTTGACTATTGTTATCCGGATAATTATCCGAATACCTGTCGGATTATCCGGATATCCGAATTATCCGGATAATTAGATACGAATAAGCGGATGATGGATTTATCCAGATTGGAAGTAAGTACGTACTGTTTCCATAAAATCTTCACAAAGATTTGTAAAAGGAATACTGAATAGAAAATATCCACACTTAATTTATCTAATTGCTTATCGTCCTTCACTTAATACATTTTTAAATAAATGACTTTTTAATCGGTCAACTAAATCAATAATCTTCTTCGCAATATTATAATATACAATTAAATTACACAATCGGATCATAATTACGTAATAATGTATACACTTTAACAGATTCAAATCAAATAATCGAGATTTTTTAAGATCACGTTTTAAATCATTTGTGCAAAAAAAGTTTGATACAAAAATTATATCATGGACTGATCCCATATCAATGCCGTGTTAAATAGTTTATTTTATTAAGAAAATAAATGTACGTATATACGCGTAATATAACAGTTATACAATCACACAGATCATTGGGGTTCTATGTCAACTATGTAAATCAAAATTATTCGTGGTATTATAAATTTTATTATTGAAATAATAATAATAGATTAATTATATAATGTTTATTATAGCAATATTTATTATATTGTTAGTTATAACCTGTATAATAAAGCTAATTTATTAACAAAGTATTTGTTTAAAAGTGTTGCAATATTGGGCCCAAATAATTGTGGCTAAGCTTCTTGAAGTGGGTGTTTTTTGGCTTTATTTCTTTGTTTTTATATTTATTCAACTTATC